ATTGGAATAGTATGAGTATGGAACTAATGGCTTTTTGGTCCTTGAAGTGTATGAGATTCTGCACCCAAAACCCTCCAGCCTTTTCGCAACTTCACTCCCTATCTTCCCCAATCCAATAATCCCGATTCGTCTCTGGCTCAACTGTCAAATTTTTTCAAGAAGAACCTAAATTAAGTAACGGTCCGTTTGATAACATTTTTGTTTCTATGGTCTCAACATCCATAAATTCAAGTGTGATTAAAACAATCTTTTATTTATATTTTGGAACAAATTGGAAATAAGAACAAGAAAGCAGAAATTTGTTTGGGTTGTTTCTAAATGTTACCGGGAGTAGAAACAAGAACTATATTTAGTTGAAAGAAACCAAACCGCCCTAAATATCATGATTTAAAGGGAAACGGCTATTAGACAAAATGCACTGTACCTTTAACCCGAGAGGAAACTCTCCTTTTGTAGGCCAGAGCCCTTGCCTCAGGAATCGGTCCGCGGCCGACACTTTCCTAAGAACGTCGATGAGTAATCCCACCGCCAGATCGGCGACATCGTCGGAAAAGATGTTTCCAGCATTGGCAACGGCGACCCCGCGGCGGCGCAATTCGGGCAAGTCGAGGTGATCGACACCGACGCTGGAGGTGACGACGAGCTTGAGCGAGGGGAGGCAGTGGAGAAGGGCGGGAGTGAGCTTGATAGAGCCACCACCACGGATGATGAGGGCCTGTGTGGATTGGGCATAAGAGGTGAGGAATTGGAGGAGTGGGAGTTTGGAAAGCCATGGTTTGAGGAAATGGAATCTGTTTGGGAATTGGGATTCCAGAAGTGAGAATACCAAGGGAGAACCTAAAGCCAAAACTTCAGGAAGCTGAGGATCCATTATTCTCTCGCCAATCAAACGCATTCCCGTTGTCTTGTATCCTCACAGCCAAAGCCACTCCCATCATTTAGGAACAAATGATTAGAATTTACAGAGAAAAGGCATGTGGTTTCATGTGCTCCTGATTCCTACCCACTCCCACTCTTAAAAAGATTTAGTTTAAATACTATTGGGTCGTCGATAATTTTACATTGGAGGGATACTGATGCATATAAATAGAGATCAGATCGAAAGACATGGTTAGATGGACAACAGGTGAATATTCTTGTATTACTCTAATCAGATCAAGTGGAATGACACAAGATTACACAAGATTTGCCTGTTGACTAAGCATTCAATGGTGGATTTTATGCATTATCCAACTTACAAATTAAATTTGTAAGCATTATTAAATTAATTTGTAAGTATTATTAAATTAGTTAGTGTTTTTTTTATATATTTGAAAATTGAATAGGAGGTAAGCAGTATTATACTTATCTAAGTTTAGAGTTCAATTTGATGAAATTAAAAGTTTAAGGTGAAAAATTATATAACTTTTCTAATTTAAGAGGAAAAACTGATTTTTTTTCTAAATATTATTAATCTTAAATGTATTTATTATAAATATTAAAATTAAGTAATATTGAAAACTAAACTGCCCTCAATTATTAGGTATTAGTTTCTTTAGCATGAATACTTTGTAAAACATATGTTCAAAATAATAACTATATACACAATTTGATWTTTGTTTGTTTATAATAAAATATGATTGAGTTATCTATATAAATATAAAAAAAAATAATATTCAAAATAAAATATGATTGTATCGTATTCAAAATATTCAAAATATTGTAGACTATAAAAGGACCGGCGTCCGTTTTCTGTGCGCGTTCTTCTGCTACATTCGCTCTCTCTTATGCGCGACCGCGCGACGAAATTCTCCTAGCATTCTACACCAACGCTCTTCGCTTTGTGATTCTTCGTATCAATTCTCTGCATCCTCGTGTTCATCAACAATGGCGATGAAGAATATAGAAAGGATCGGCGTCTGGTTTGGCCAAGCACGAGGACGAAGTAGGTAATGGTGGTGCGTGCCGGATGATAGAGGTTCTTTCTGGCAGTTCTTCTCCTTTTTCTCTCCGTTATCGCCACAATGCTGGTGCGTCTCTTTCCCTACTTTTAATCACCCTCTGGTTTAGGAAAAGGAATGTAGTGTAGTTTTTACTCCGGATCTTTAGTTATTAGAACTCAGATCAGCTTTCTCTTCATTTTTCTCAACACGGATTGAAAGCCTTAGTTAATTTACTCTGCATTAATGTTTTCTTCAGGCCAGGTCAGGTCGGGAGTTCAGAATTGGCTCCTTCAGTTTCACAATGAGCTTTGAATTTTGATTACTTCTCTGTTAGGGGCCAAATAAGTGTAATGTTCGCTTCGAGAACTAAGCGAATTATTGTTAGAAGTTTTAGGGATTACGAAACAGAAATTTAAGTTTAACACCGTACGTTGAAAACGATGCTTGTGCATTTTTATCGTATTTCTGGAAATGACTCAGACTGCGTTCAAATCGATAGTGATTAGCATTCATGCTACGGATGTGTATTCGTGGCACAAAGATGTATTAGGCGTCGTTTCTTTGGATTGAATTCGTTGCTTCATTTTCAGTGTCTCTACGGCAAATTGAGTTCCTTCGACACATATGAGAAATAGGAACGAAACGTATAAAGAGAAAATAATTGAATTTCTCAGAACGACATGTGTATAAGGAGTTTTTGAGAAAAATATAATAATAATGATAATCTACCCTCACCTTCACTTTACTTGATTGGAAGAATATAGTTACTGTTAGCATCTACCCTGATGTTTTCCTGGATATACGGGTCCTGAAGAGGATCATATAGGAGTTTAGTCACCACATTATCACAATATACTTGCATTATGTGTGTGTTTTTGTGTGCCATTCTCATTATTTTCCATGTACATTTGTTACCTTTGTTTTTTATTTATCCTTGAGCCATATCATCGTCTGCTTTGGGAAGTTACCTGGCATACGAGTTAGGATACTTCGCAATTATGGTTAATTACTTGTCTGTCTTTCAAGAAGTATAGCATGCAATTAAATGGTGATCTCAGAGTAAATTATGGGGAAAGTTTCTTTGAATTAATCGTTTTTATAAAAAGCACTATATTATGAGCATATGCAAGTATATCCCTTGTGATGACGTGATTTTTTTTGATTAATTATTCTCTGTTAATTTATTAGTACTCATCTTACGTTTCGTCGTGCATTCTTTTGATAACCTTTCAAGGGCAAGAGATCAATTAAAAGAAGAAGAAAAAATTTTGAAGGTTGAAAAGGAAAAAGACTTTTCTCACTCAATTGGGGGTTGAGAGTATTCCGGGCGGCCTTTGTGCCTGTTCTCAAGAAGTGACAATTTGGAAAATCCAATTTTGCTCCATTATGGCCTCTTCTCAGGCAATGTGGATGCTAAGGTGAATCCAACTCATTAATTTGGTGGGTTATTTATGAAAATTGACTTCACTTCAACATGTATCATATTCATGACAAATTATGGTCAAACTTATTTCTCTGTTTATGTTGGGTTTTAATTAGATATATAGCTCTGTTTGAATGACAGGGTTCTTCAAAACATGTATTCCACCTAGTTACTGATTATCTCAACATGAAACCCCAAAGTAGATATACCTTGGATGGATATCGCTATGACCTGCATCGCCTCAAGTATACGGACTATAGCCGTCCTCATCTGTGCCAGTGCCACTTCGTTAAATGAAACTGCTACCAGGTCTCTCTCTCTCTCTCTCTGCACACTGAAATTGACTAACTTGGTTAATAGCATGAAATGGAGCTGGAGAGATCGCACATCATAGTTAAATTTATTTGAAATCGATTTAATTTGTTTGTTCTCACAAGCCTTTATGCATTATAATGCGGTAGAAATAAATACCTTTCTAGCATGCAAAGAATTCTTCTCTCATTCCCTTATTTTGTCCACAATGCTGTTTTTTCCCTCTTTATTTTTTCTTTTTTCTTTCTTTTTGGGTGGGGGTTAGAAAAAATCCTGGTCTCATTCTTCAAATTTCAAAGAAGGAACTTGTTACTCCATTGACAAGGCATATCTCACCCCCCACACATTCTACTCTCTCTCTGATCTCCCGCAAAGAGCTCTAGAAGAAAAGCTCCTAGCTGGATAGTATAATCTCAAAAACAAGACACCCAGTCTTAAAGGGGTCTCGTCTCATCAGAAATTGGGGGAGAAAATAGAGAAAAACTTGAAAGATGATGGTGTTGATGGCTGCAACACAAACGTCTCGGTATAACCATAAATAAAGTTGAATATAGTAATACATTAAGGTAGCTCTGTCATAAAGTTTTTCTAGTCTCCCCTTTGATAAGTTGTATCTCTACTAATCCACAAAGGGAGACACCAACGGTTTGTTTGCAAAGAGTGCTTCTAAGTTGTCAGTTGCCAACTTAACCAATCCCTCCATAGATTCTTTTGTTGTGACAGCAACATGCGGCGACAACACTACATTATCAAGAGTAAAGAGCTGTTCGGGAATTTCAGGCTCATTCTCAAACACATCCAGCCCAACACCCCCAATCTCCCCCTCAATCAAACATTGAATCATCTCCTTCTCGTCGATGATTGCCCCACGACCAACATTGACCATCACTCCATCTTTTCCTAAAGCAAGCATCACCTCCCTGTTGATCATATGACGGGTCTCTTTAGTTAATCCACAACAAATTATGATGGCTTCACAGTTGGTTGCAAGTTCATATACATTGGAATAGTAGGAGTATGAAACTATTGGTTTTTTGGTCCTTGAGTTATATGAGAGTTTGCAACCAAAACCCTCAAGTCTTTTGGCAACTTCAGAGCCTATTTTCCCCAATCCAACGATCCCAATTCGCTTGCCGCTCAACTGCGAAAGACAAAATCTTAAGCATCCAAATTCAACTACACCTCTTACATGAGAGACTAATTAGTTATTTTAGTCCTACGACATGGTGAGGTGGAGATTCGAGCTTCTGGCTAACTAGTTAAAACAAATCAAAAGCATAAAGATGACACATCATTTCGATCTTTCTGCTACCGAGGCAATTGGAAATGAAGAGGAAATTGCAATTAGATAAAAACCAATGCACCTTTAATCCGAGAGGAGGATTCCCTTTGGTAGGCCAAAGCCCTTTCCTCACGAACCGGTCTCCCGCTGACACTTTCCTGAGAACGTCAATGAGTAATCCTACAGCCATATCGGCGACATCTTCAGAGAACAAGTTTCCTGCATAGGCAATGGCGACCCCACAGCGGCGTAATTCTGGCAAGTCCAAGTGATCGACACCGGCGCTGATGGTGACGACGAGTTTCAGCGACGGAAGGCAGTCGAGAATGTTGGAGGACACTGCAAGACGGTCACCGGGGCTGACGAGCAATGCTGGGGCGGATTGGGCATAAGAGGTGAGGAATTGGAGTAGTGGGAGTTTGGAAAACCATGGTTTGAGGAAATGGAATCTGTTTGGGAATTGGGATTCCAGAGATGAGAAATCTGCGGGGGGAGCTAGAACCAAAACTTGAGGAAGCTCGTCGGCCGGTATCTCGACTGCCATTATTGTACTTGCTGGCAGAGGAATCTGTAGTCTCTCTACCTGATGGGAGAAGTAGTAAAAGAAGCGACAAACAGGCTTTATTGAATAAGATGATGAAAGATTTTTTTCTTACCTGTTTGAGTACGATGAAGAAAGATTACGACAAAGGTTTATTTATTTATTTATTCAAATTCATTTACTTTTTGGATAAGGATATATATCTTAATTAGTTGAGGTGTAAGTTCAAGTTGACTAAGATAAAAGCTTATTCTATCTGGATGAGTTAAATCATGAATTTTATAACTTTGCTTTAATAGTTTGAAAATATAACGATTAAGACCCAAATTAAATAATGTCAAAAAAGGAGAAGTTTGACAATTAATACATGAAATATGTCGACATGAGCATAGTTCAACTGGTTTAAGTATATATCTCGATCAAAGGGTATGAGTTTGAAACTTTGAATCTCTATCCCACATGTTGTTGTACTAAAAAAAATACCCGAAATAGAGTATATTTCAAGTAGATAAACTAAAAGTAAAAGTTAATTATCTATCAGTTTTGATGGATTGACTTGGTGGTCAATGAAAATCAATATAAATAATAAAAAGATTTAGAGAAAATGGATTCAAAAGGTAGACTAGCTACTGCTACTAGACAGAAAAGTTCTTATTGAATTTTAAGAGGCGAGGATTTAATTTATGGTTGTATCACGAATACTTCTTTGAAGAAAAAAAACAAACACACACCATCCAACGTAAAGGACATGGACAACACACAGCACCAAAGAAATCCTTCACATCATCCACTACTGTTTAGACTTTGGAGTTTTGGACGCATCAAATAGCTCCACGACATGGAATCCTCCCCCGTGAAATCTGAACCCTACGTGCACCCCACTCGCCTCTACGAGTTTCTAATCAGTGGGTCCCCACCAGGTACTCAAAAAGTCCCCTTTCTAGCCGTCCGATCTTCTCTTGGTGGAGCCCCTCCACCGTCGGATCGCAATAGTGGTGGCTCCGATCACATTCCTCCGGATGGCAGGGTAAATCTGGTCGTCCACCGATCGGAGCTCCGATTCCGTCCGTTGGGTTCGGTTGAAAAACGGCTGATTAAATATATGCCCCACGATTTTCAGTGGCGAGAGATCGGAATCCAGTGCTCGTAAAGCTGCGTTGGACGTGATGTTCCCGCCGGAGCTGGGTCGCAACGGTCGCCGTGGCCGTAGATGGAAGTTCATAATCTTTATTAATATTCTAGCTTCCATCTCAAAACCAATCCAGAATGTTTGAGTTTTTGGCTTTTATACCATATTAATATTCATGGTTTTCATTTCAAAATCAAGTAGCTCGTATCTATTAATATCTATTATAAATCATTGTTAGATCCCCTAACGTGGGATTCTTAACTATCTTTAACATACCAATAGAGTGAGGTGTTGTGATTTTGTTTCACAAAAAAAAAACGGTAGCGGAGATGTTGTCTGATACTTGTATATCTTTTTTCAAGTTTTATTGGAAGGGTTTGGGGAATGTCCTTAGAAATTGTGAGACATTTGGTGTCGACAATTAGAGTTTTTATATTCGTGAATATCGGTCCAGCTTAATTAATAATTTCTAAGATAAGCGATTATCATGGAATTTGAAGTCATTTCCTCTTAATTAACCCTAGTCTCTTTGACCATGATGGTTCTTGGAGTTGAAGCAGTTAGAATAGCAACTTATATCTAGCTTTTCTAATTTACAATATTAGGCAGATTCCTCGTTAATGCAGTATAAGAAAATGGATATTTGGCGACGTATCTTTTGGCGATGACTACTTAACTCAAAGTTATCAATGATAGATGAGGAACATGACATGTGTTGTTTAAAATATTAGGTTATGGAAGATTTAAACATACGACACTCTAGGAGAAGTAGATATATTTTAATCACTGATTAGGCTCGAGTTGGCAGCCAGAGAACTTAGTTAGCGTTCACATATTTGGTCGATGTTATGTTTGTTTACAATTTATATCCTTATTTTTTTAATAATCTTTTTGAATAATTAATGAATAGGTTTCAATTAGGACTGCACGCTGAAATTTTAAAATCAACCAACTCGAGTTGGTTCCGTTGATTTGCACAACATTATATTGGTCGATTTGATATTTCATTAAAATTTAATAAAAACCTAGTTAATTGTTTTGATGGGATCAGTTTCAATTGGTTTAGTTTTCTTTTGATTTTGACTTTTTGAGTTGCAACGTGTAGGATGAGACTTTTGATTTTCTGATTATCGTAATTAACCAATTAAACTATACTCAAGTTAGCTTGGTTTAGTTGATTTTTTATGTGACGGTCCATTCAATTTTCTCTCTTTGATAATTCAAGTTTTTTCTTTCTAGTACAATATGTGGAGTAAACGATCCAACTCATAACCTTTTGATTGGAGATATATGTCAATTACAACGGAGCTATAATTCAGGTTTGTTGCGCTTAAATGTTATATTTTAGATTGAGACAGTTAATTATGATTTAGAAGAACTGTTTGGTAGAATGAGATGAGATGCAATAATGTTGAGAGGTTCTTTCCCCATCTAAAACAAAGTTTTTTTTTTTTTAATAAATATCCAATTAGAAGGTCATGAGTTTGAGTCTCTCATCTCTATTGTACTAAAATAAACCGTTGTCTACCTTTTCAAGCTCCTCTTATTTTTCTTCAAAAAAAAATCTTGTTTTTTCCCTTTTCTTTTTATATCTTATTTCCTCTTGACTATATAAACTTTATGTTTTTAAATAACATTAATTAGTTTAAATTGTTGGTATGTTTAATTAAATTTATAATTAATAAGGCTAATTAGAATTAATGGATAATAATGTATTTAAACTAATAATAATTGATTAAAATATATACTTAATAAATTTTTATTGATAAAATATTTCAATTAATGCAACTCAAAAATTATTAATTTTCATAATTATAATCCACTGCAAACATAATTCATAATTATAATTAACTATTCACTCTTTACTCTAGAGTCAATTAATTTATATTAACTATTTGTTATTACGTTTAATTGATCTAATAATTAGTTATCTATCCTACTTAGATTAGATTCTTAACATTAATCTTATAAACTAGACACAAAAATCATGTATTCTGATGAAATTTTGATAACTCCAATGCAAAATCAAGCATGATAATATATTATTTCAAGCCATATTATTGAAAATATCTCCAACCAACATCCAATAAAATTTTAACCATGTTTAAATAATACACTTTTGATCGATGTATTTCTAAAATTTTAGTATGGTACTTTACTCACTAAATTTCTTGAAATAAATTTAGCTATAAATAACAACTTTATTGTATATAAAGTTTGTGTTAAATTTTTACAAATAGGATTTAAATGGTTATTTTTAAAAATACATGAACTAAAATAGACGTTTTAAAAGTACATTGATCAAAATGGATATATTTACGGGACATAAAATAATATTTAAACCTTTAAACTAAAAGCAACCCTTATATGTCTTTTAATATATACCTTACATGCCTAATTTTATTAATACGATACCCAATCGCATACCTATGGCATTATTATGTTGTATCGTCTAATATGACTTTCATTGTACTTTCTAATCTTCATCTTAATGGTTGCCTACTTTCTAGTCTCCTTTGGACCCTATAAATTTTTTTTTTCTTGTCTTTTGGCTTTGAATTATGAAAGCTTTTTAATATCTTCTTCTTTATGGTTCGACTATCATCTTGTGGCCCGTCCTTAGGTTTGGCTATGCTAGATTTGCACCTTAATCATCATAGTATGAATGCACTAAATTATTATATCATTTTAATTAGAATAATCTATTCTTTAAAAAGGTTGTTTAGAGTAATTTGAACTCTACCATTGCCTACCAATCATAATTAATGAAGGCAAAATATGATCCACAAAAGCTAAATTGGATTTGAGGGTTGACAAATTTTATGAATTAAGGCTCTCGTTACTTCACACGGATGAGAGAGAGAATCAATAGACGAGAATCCAAATTTTCATTTCGTTTGATGATATTTACTAACCCTGTTTGGATAAGTAAAAAACAGAATTCGAAATCCTTGTTTTTTGTTTAAATATTTTTTATTCGAAATAAGTCTGATTTGGGAGGATTTTAAATTTAATTGTAACAAATTTTGATTTTGTCCCGGTGAAAAAAACTTATCACTCTAACCTCCTTTATTGGTAAATTGTACATCATCAACCAAATTAGTTTTAAAACTTGATTTGTCAGTAGTTCTTTTTTCTTTTTTTTTATTCTAATAACTATAAACAGACATTTTTTTTTTCATCACATAACAAGTATTTTTTATTGATTTTTATTTTGTTTATGATGTATTTAAGATTCCTTAAATCTTGTTTAGATCTTTATATGTTTATGTTTTTTTGGTATATTTTTCTTTCTTTTTTTCTTTTACTTTTATTTTTTTACTGCAGATCATAAAATAACTATGATAAAAATAAAAAAGAAGCAAATTGTTGCGAATAAATTGAAATAATTTGATTTTAAGAAATTTTTTTAGTATTTGAATTAAAAAATTTGTAAGTTTTTTTTTTAATTTTTAAAATAAATGTGACATTTACAAGTTTTAATTTTTGTTGATTTGATTAAATTATTTATGTTTTCCAAGGTTGAAATTACTAGTTTATATTAAAATATTATATTATTAATAATATAATATTCTACAAAATATTAAGGACATAATAGTAAAATGTTATACATTCTTTTCATTTCTCATAAACGTTCAAACAATAAATTTTAATTTTAATGATTTACATGATTTTTGATTCCAAACGCAATTAAGAATTTGAAATCATTCCCATTATTTAAAATCCTAAAATTTGAAATCATTTCCTACAAATTTCAGATGTCAAACGGAGAATGGTAGGAACAAAATCAATTGACTTTATAATCCGTTTTAGAGTATAATACAATTCCTCCTCTATAATTGTATCAATCTTATTTCTATACTCTGCTTGGTGTGTTCCACACTTTTCCACACTTTTATAATTATTACTTTACAAATTTTATATTTTATCTCTCAGATGAAATGAGTGAGACTTATTATTTTTTAATTAATTATTTTACATTTTTATTATTTCCGTTTTATTTATACTAATAACAATTTTTCTTCTAATAAAATTTTGTACAACTTCTATTACTTTATGTTATTTTATTATAAAATGTTATAAATTTCTATTAAATTTTTTTAATTAATTAATTTTACTTTTTTATTATTAGTTAATATCAATAAATTTTTAAAATTGAATGGATTATTATTAAATATTATAACAATAAAGTTTAATAATACTTTATATTATATTAAATGATGGTTCTAATAAAATATTATTTTAATTGTTATAGTTTTATTTTAATTATTTATGATTTGTTAATATTAAATAAATTGTTATAATAAAAATTTTACTATCAATAAATAGTAATAAAATAAAATAAATTTTATTATTATTTTAATTAAAAAAGATTAGTATAATAATATAATTGTAATTAGTTAAAAATAGAAAAGAGGTATACTAGTAATTATTATGTATGGATCCCAATTCCAATTCCAATTCCATATAGTTTTTTAGACAACATCAAATGATTTTTGATTTCGATTCCAAAATATTTTTAATAAACAATATGAATAAAATTCTCATTTCAATTATGGAAATATCAATTCTTCATATAATGTTTAAAATAAATGTGTTAGATAAGAAACAGTAATTCAGTAATAATAGAAACATTATGGAAAATTTAACCCAACCAAGTCGTTGTTCGATAATTAATGCTAGCTACCACCTTTAATATGTTAGAACATGAAAACCAACCATAAATAAATACAATAATTTACCAGAAAATTTCGGGAGAAAAACTATGGCCCACCAAAAGGAAAAATCTACTATTTCAAAGATATTACAATCACACGTCATTCTCTTCTTTATCTCAACTACCGAAGAAAAAAAAATCCACTTTATACCACTCATAGACTAGAGTTAGAAATACTATTTTTAACTAAAGGTATAAAATTCAGTCATTAGTTACAACTAAGGTTTTAAACGTCGATGTCTCAATTTTATAGATATGTCGACAAAATGGAGTTGTCAATGAATATTTATGAAAAGCTTAAAAAAAATTGAGCATTTCAACATTTCTTAAATAAGTTGAAAATAATTAATATTAATATTATGTCTATATTAGTGATATTTTTTATATATTTAATATTTTGTCTCGTCAAAGCAAACTTAGCTCAACAGTAATTGAAATACATCTTTAATTAAGAGATTGCGGGTGCGTGGACGGATATTTAATATCATGGTCACAACTTACCATATATTTAGACATTCAATTCTTACCTCTAATATTTTGCCAAAAAACTCAAGGCAAGCACCTTGAAATAGGGGTGTTCACGCTTCGGTTTGGAGGCCGAATCGAAACCGAAACGAAATTTAAAAAATTCAAAACCGAACCGAACCGAAATACACAGTAGAACC